TGTGCTCCGAGTTTATAGTGTATTTTGTGTTGCATATACGCGTATTATTTCAAACTAGTCGCGCAGATGACTGAGAATTCTAAATTAAGTTGGCACTACATCAAATATAGTAATTTCATTTTTAAGACTATCACAATACATATTTTTTGAATCGCGTGTGTCAGTAAGTGGTGTAATCTTTTCGTCGTTTTGAGTTTGCTTATTGTACAAATTTTCATAATAAATGCAATGTTGTTTTTAAATGAAAGGGAATGTGGACAGTTTGCCGTTTTTATCACGAACTTCTTTCTTTACGTCGACAACCATTCTGAAATATTATATACATAGAAGTTCAAAGTAACACATCCCTAAATTTTCTAATATTTTTTTAACGTTAAAAGTTCAGTATCGAAACAGAAATGGGTAATATCGCATTTTAGATTGTATGTTTCAACAAAAATTTATAACGGGTGTCCCACGTAACACTTTCGGGTGCAATAACTCAGGTATTTTTGAACGGATTTTTATGAAATTTGAAATGTAGGTATTTTGACATGTGAGGATTAATATGAACCGGTGAGAATAATCATTATCTTAAAGTAAATTTTCCATGCCTTAATTTAATTTTGAATTAATTAAGTTTTGCATCACTTGATTAAACATCAAAAATAAATATTGTATGCAAAAATTTCTGTTTTAATAATTAATGAAAAGCGAACCATTTTCAATAACTTGTCAGATTTTGACAAAAATGTCAGGGGTGTACAAAATTGAACTCGCCGACGCAGGCAACTATTTTGCACCGACAGCACTATTAAATTTAAAAAAACAAATACATTAATTTTTGCGTATTTATTGACGTAATTCTTTTAAACAAAAATAGTGATTTATAATAAATTTTTCGCGCACAGGCGTTATTTTAATAGCTTAAAGTTATAACGCAATTTTGAATAATTTTTAACAACAGGAAGCTGTGTTAAAATTCGTTTTTTGTACGATAAAATACCTGCTTTAAATTTCATAAAAACCCCTTCAAAAATACCTGAGTTATTGCACCCGAAAGTGTTACATGGGACACCCGGTATATAACTTGTCAATGTCCTTAACAATATTTTGTGTTAACGTTATCGATTTTTTCGTTGAGGAGGCTCCAAATAAAATTTCAACGTAGTCGGAATTGCTAGTTTGGATGTGGTTTCTCCAAGAAAATCCTCAAGAGAGGAGGAGATATTTTCGTATTTTGCGAACTGTGAAATGCTAGAAAACAGGAAATTATATATTTGTCCAAGTGACTTGTTTAGCTATCTCTTGGGAAATGAAAAAACATTAACTCACCACACTTTAGACGTTAGGTAACATATGTAATTTAATTGTTTTTACTGTTTAAATTTATGTGACACTGAAACGACATTTCATACGTGAGTAGTTAATTTAAAAGCTTTACGACACGTACGAGTATATGCTTTACTATAAAATTTTACGTTAACGTCTAAAAGAACAGTTTATGTTTCTGAAAAAAGTGCTGCATTGAGATACGGTCTGGTTTGCTTATATTGTTAGTTGCCTAACTTGTACTCAAAGAAAGCTGAATCTATACGTTACGTTGCGTTGGTTTCAACTTTTGCGCTAGTGCGCTGTTGCAAACTCGTGACTCAAAAAATTGGTCTAAAGAGTTTAGACAGTACTTCCCTCGCTGTCGGAAACTTGACGACTGCATGCCTATTGTGTTTTTTTTCTCATTACATTTTTGTAGTGGGAATTTAAAAAAAAATTGCGATGACGTCATCAACATTTTTGCAAGGACACGTATATCAGTTGGGATAGATGTAGTGTAATACTAAGAATAAAATTATTATACTCTCAAATTTTCGGGAAAATTAATTGGGTCGTTTTGAATATTGATTTGTAATAATCAATAAAATAACGAAACAATTTACTCACGTATACGTATCAGAGGCAACTGAAAATCGTGTATGTATAAACATTCTTAATTTAAGATGACAGGCGTAACAGCATACGTGAGAGTCAAACAGAGAAACTGTAAACAAAACGACCATCGGTTTTATTGCTTCGACTTCCGCTTATTATATAAAACATTGGGTTTTATTTTAATTCTTGACGGTGAAATTCACAATTGGTTGATTATAAACATGTCTATTTCACATTCGCGGAACCAAGTGAACGCATAAAACAAATGCAGGTCTGTAATGTTAAAGTCGATGTAAATAAGCGTGCTACCCTTATGTTTCAACCGAGTTTTTCCTTTAACAAATTTTGTGTCTACCAAATTGGGTTGGTTGGGGTGTAATACTAATAATAAGTGTTGCCTTTAATTTAATCAATAAAATAAATTGACTTCATTAATTTTTTTGAACCACCTTTTAAGAAAATCTAAAAAATATGAATGGAATGATAAATCACAAGTACAAACTCATCGTATTTTTTGCATTTTAGATAGGATTTATTCAGCAAAATTTAAGGGTGACGTCATCAATTTTTTTAGGAGGGATGAACAAATACATTTTGAACAAAAGTTTACCATGCTTATAATAACTTTAAAATATTCCCAAGATTTCAAAGCATTCGGTTTTGTAATTCCTGATTAAATCGATAAAATAAATTCACGCCTTCATTAATTTTTTTGAGTCACCCTGCATATGCAAATCCAAAAATATGAATGGAATGATAAATCACAAGTACAGACTCATCATATTTTGTACATTTTAGATACGATTTATTCGGCAAACTTTTGAGCTGACGTCATCAGTTTTTTGTAGAAGATAACCAAATATATTTTGACTAAAAATTTATTATGCTCTTTATAACCTTAAAACATCTGCAAGATTTCAAAGCATTCGGTTTTGTAGTTCCTGATTAAATCAATAAAATAAATTTACGCATTCATTAATTTTTTTGAGTCACCTTGTATATGCAAATCGAAAAAATTTGAATGGAATGATAAATCACAAGAAGAGACTCACCATATTTTGTACATTTTAGATAGGATTTATTCAGCAAAATTTTGTGGTGACGTCATAAATTTTTTACGGGGGACGACCAAATACGTTTTGATCAAAAATTTACCATGCTTATGATAATTTTAAAATATCTTCAAGATTTCGAAGCATTCGGTTTTGTAGTTCCTGAGTAAATCAATAAAATATATTTACGCATTCATTAATTTTTTTGAGTCACCCTGTATATGCAAATCCAAAAAATATGAATGGAGTGATAGATCACAAGTACAGACTCATCATATTTTGTACATTTTAGATATGATTTATTCGGCAAACTTTCGAGCTGACGTCATCAAGTTTTTGGAGGGGATAAGCAAATATATTTTGACTAAACATTTATTATGCTCTTTATGACCTTAAAACATCTGCAAGATTTCAGAGCATTCGGTTTTGTAGTTCCTGATTAAATCAATAAAATATATTTACGCATTCATTAATTTTTTTGAGTCACCCTGTATATGCAAATCCAAAAAATATGAATGGAGTGATAGATCACAAGTACAGACTCATCATATTTTGTACATTTTAGATATGATTTATTCCACAAACTTTTGAGCTGACGTCATCAAGTTTTTGGAGGGGATAAGCAAATATTTTTTGACTAAAGATTTATGATGCTATTTATAGCCTTAAAACATCTGCAACATTTCAAAACACTCGGATTAGGAGATTCAAAATTAAATTGCAAAATGTTGTTTTATAATTTTGATTTTTTTTCCAAAAATCTGGACGTTTCGGGTGAAAAGTCGATTCAGAGTTGTAAACTACATGTGTAGGACTATGTTATTTTATACAATTGAAAACCCATTTACTATGTACAATTTTTAAGTGACGTCATCGCATTAGTGGTGGGGATGATTAGACAAATTTTGGTTAGCGTTTTACCATCTACATGATATTCTTAATATAAGTACAAAATTTCACAACAATCGGTCGAGTACTTTCGGAGATTATCTGTCTAATAAAAATCCGGGACAACAGACGGACAGACGGACGGACAGACGGACAGACAGACGGAAATGGGAGACCTATTTCTTCGTCTTCTAGGGTTCATGAAAGATCGAGAAAACGTAAAAGTAGAGAGTCGGCCGACGGACTCGATTACAATACTTCCTTTGCTTACGCTCGGGAAGTAAAAATGTGAGTCTAAAGCATAAATTAGAAATTTCACCTCATATTGCAGACAATATAAACTTTACTGTTTTCAAAAGAAAGATTTAAAGAAAGTAATAAATTTGACAATATTTTTACAAGTATTCATATTGTATTCCCCATTTTTCTAGTCCATGAGGGTATGAATTTGACTCAGGGAAATTTCAAGTTCCTTTCTCCCAAAATGGATTCGCGTTTGGGTAAGTTTAAATGCTATAAATGAACTCAATCTGGAGTAGGAACCAAGAAGTGTATTATAATACAATACTTGAGTAAAAACGTCGAGGAACATTAGTTATTATAATTTGATAAACAAAAGAGTGAAGTCTAAATAAGTGAATTTCTTAACACGTGGTTTCACTCACAACAAACAAAATCGCCAAAACAGCAAGTGCATTGCCAACCCCTTAGCCAACTACCAACTTAAAAAGTGACATTCACTAATTTTATAAATTGTCTACCTTGAAGATCTCGACACATGGTTAAAAAGAGAACTCGGTCATCGTTGCTCTACCACACGTGTTTTTTTTATCGTCATGTCCCATAAAATAATTTTGTCAATTTTATTGTTCGCAAACGCAAAACTTCGCATCACATGGGACTAGGCAATAAACAAGCGTGTGATTTTAAGAGAAATTAAACTTTGTTACTTGATTTATTACCTGTCAGCCAAATTTCAGTTTATGGTTATTTCCCAGTAGGGCGACTTTGATAAAATTTAGCAACTGTTGAAACGGTGGGCTTATGTAGATTTAAATTCTGCTTTTATTATTATCGGGCTTGGTGGACGTGTAGCATGTATTTATCAAAATGGTGTTCCATTCGGGAGTTTCACTATAAAGTAATAGGAAATACAGTTTTTCAACATTTATTTAAGAAAATTATAATCTAGTACATGATGCTTATAAACAATAATCACAAAAATAAAAATAAAATGAAAGTGACTAACAACAGGACACTAAAGATGACTAGATAATGACTAGAGGATTATCTCTTGTTACACACAGTAACACGTTTTCCATTCATTTGTACACAACAAATTTTGTTAAATTACTAACTATACAAAACAGTACAATGTAACAAAGTATGTAGGTACACCGTTTAATTAAAAATATTTTTAGTACAGGTAATTTTTGACTTATATTTATTTATATTATCGCCTATGAGTCGCTTTAATACTGATCGGTTTATTATTTGTAAGATATGCATTTGACAATTGTTTACTCATACAAAACGATTGTATTATTACCCTGTGATTCAGCAATTTTCCATACGTCGGTTTCAAAACTAAACGGATATTGAAGCTGAATTTGTTTACTGACTTCACTATGCGGCTGATTAAGTTTATGTTCTTGTAATCTGTCAAGTGTCACATTAGTTTCAACTTCACCGCATACAGTCTCCCTCCCCCAACATGACAATATGACAAATTATCCGAACACAATACACTTTAGTCAAAGCACTTGTTACATCTATTGACCGTTTTAAACATGTTGGAAATACTCTTATTTGGAATGTATTTTTAAACCTCTTCGAAATCTCGTCAACAGTTTTTAGACATTTAAATATTTTAATAATGGTTCGCGTTATAACAGGTGTGACACTAACAAGCGGCCAACAATAATAAAATAATTGCTGCGCTCCACTGTTCCACATTAATTTGCTAATTATCACATTCAGACATCACATAAACTATGACAGATACCTAAGGAATTAACAAAACCTAATGCAAAACAACATCATGTGATTGTATTGTTTTCTGCTTCAACAGAACCGGCTTAGGCTTCTTCTCGTCCCCACTCCTGTGAGGCCACGTGAGCAATAGTAACTGGTTTTCATTGGTCTCTTGGAGCTTGTTGTCCAAAGCCATAAAAATTTTCCCGCTAGACGTTTCGGAAGTTTCCGATGAGTCACTCCCGTTGCTTGAGTTGTCCAACAAGGGCTTCGTTGTGGTGGTGGGGGCGCTCTTCTCCTCACTCTCCCTCAACTGCCGCCATTTGCGTTCGAGCAGGGTCGTACTAGACAAGGAATGTTTCCTGGTAATGGTGTCTCTTCTAGAAGCGTCACTTTCTTCAGAGTAGGTCCTAGTTATAGTGATTCTAGGGGAATGCTTCGGTGTTCCGTCGAGGATATTTTGGACAACTTCGCTCTTCTTCTCGGTGGTTTCCGAGTTACCGAAGATCTTGTGGAGTAAAAGATTGGCAGGATTGAGTTTATTTGGAGATTTTTGAGTTGCTATTTGGTTGTTTTCGTCTTCGGTAATGACGGAAATTTCCGTATCGCTCACAGGAACCTGTAGTGTGTTACAGCTGGAAGTCTGCTTCATCTTCTTCCCTTCTTCTTTCGAAAGCAGGTTCAGACTGTTGGCTGATCCAGGCCGCCACGACAAATCCGTTGGTACTCTTTTAATTTTGTTCTTGTGTGGACTGTTCACCGCTTTTTGTACATCTAAGAGAGCCTCAGACAATCGTGTCTGCAAAGTGGGCTTTGTTAAAAACCCCAACGGAGTCAATGATGGCCTCCTCGACCCACAAGTCGACGGAGTCCTCGCCTGTATCTCCTGGTTCACTTCACTCTTGGTCTGCTTCTTCCTCCAGTAGTTCTTAAACGTCTTCCGCAACGGCTTGCTTTTCACTCCGTACAGGAACCCATTGATTGGTGGTGAAAAAATGAGCAGCACCATGGCAGTCGTGAAGAAGTGTGGATGATTCGGTTTAGATATTCTTTCGAAGGAACTACTCGTAGCTTCCCATATGATTAAACTATAGTAAGGAAGATACAGAATTGCCAGAGAGCCGACCAGCTGTAGCACGGAATAGATGGCGCTGCGTCCTCTAAATCTTGGTGGGCCTTGTGCCGTCACTGTTGGTACGAAAAATGGGTTTCTTTGGTGTGTTATTGTCACTTGAGCTGAGAGTGTTACTTCGTAGATGGCTGATGCGATGCGGTGACGGTGGTAGCGGGCTATCATCAAAATCTGAGAAAAATGTGTTAGAAAAGTACGTTGTGGGGTACGGATGGTCTTACCTTGAGGTTGCAGCAGATGATGAGAGTGGCAGGAAGAAGAAGAGTGAACGCAGTGTAGAGTGTTGAGTACCAGAGAGTGCCAGAACCGAAGGAAAAATCAGGGGCGCAAGCTTCGAGACCGTGAATGTATGTGTAGGGTGCTACCATGAAGAGAGGTGGCAGGCAGAGTAAAAGGGAAATGGTCCAGCCGATGCCCAAACCCGCTAGGACCTAGAAAAACTAATTTGGTATCCGTAATGTGTGATTTTAATGGAGACATAGACCGAGTACACAGGGCTTTCATAAATGTTTCGTACATCCAGTGATAAAATTTAAAACTATTGCAAATTTACCACTCTACGTGATGATGGACATTTTTATAGTTTAATTTAGGAAGGCATCTATCACAAAAATAATGACATTTGAAACTTCGAGTAAAACAAAGAGTAATTTGTGTTTGGAATTAAGACATTCCTATTTACTCGAGTTTTGTTTTAGCAATAACAATGGCCTATTCTTTGGAATAAGACACATTTATTGTGATATCTTATTATCATAATGGAACATTCTAGAATGGAGAATGGATTTACTCAAAGCAAACTTGTAGAAATAAGGACGTTGCAAAGTTCCCAGGAATCGAAATCCGGAGGCTTCTATATTAAATCATCTTAATATTGTTGATTATTTGAGAGAACAACTTGAGCCAACCCCACAAACGTCTCTACCCAAATTATCTCTGAGAATTGGTGTACCGCTAAGTAGATGTTACAAAGTTATTAAAAAGAGGTTACACATTCATCCATACAAGATTGTTATGATGCATGTCATTTACCTGCAGATATCCTTTGTCGCCTTGAATATTATAACTGGTTTTAAAATAACCTCAGTGATGGATTTAGCATTTTTTAGTAACTAAGCTTAATTCCATTTACTTCGTTAAGTTTTAAGTTGATTTTTGGAACCATTCATTCATTAACTGGATGATAATGAACTTCGTTTAGGTTGCGTCCGCAGGATGGTGCAACAGCACACACAACAAGTTTAACCTTGGTTTGTGGGCAATAGTTTTATGTCAACTGAGTCATAAGCCTGGTGCTTAATTCAGAATTTTTATCATGTTTCGTTAATCTTAGTGCGAGTGTATTTAGAAAATCACGGTGAACATTTTTTAATATTCCAAACATTATTCTTTTGATAAAATTACCAGTTTTCAACTTAGTGTCCTGAATTTTCTCGGATTTTTTTAATCAATGCCACTTCGCTTGACTCATCATTTCCCTCCTGTGCAGATGTTTATTCGTAAATAGACGAGTAATGAACATTAGTTTGACAGAAGTTAAGATGTTTTAGTAATTCTATAGTGGTTTTAAAAGTTGGTATGCCACTTTAGATTTCCCCGACTATAATACTACTATTTTTCTATTGTAATATTTTGATTAAGTTTATGCAAACTACAAAAACTATTCCAATTGTTTCGAAGTCATAACTTTCAATTAACGCATTATCAGTATACAGTACGCTAAATTATCACAATCTAGCTCAGTATGACTTAAATTATCCTTCGATATTTTGTTTTCTTTCACTGCTGTTACATGTCTCTCACCGCAGTCCTTCAAAGAGTAAGAAAATATTGATCCCAAAGAAAAATAGTCAGAATTATGTAATACAGGGTTGTTATGAATGATTATATGGTCGAAGTAGGAACTGGAAGTGTGCCGCCTCTCACTTTATGTATATTTTACTAAATGCCCAAGAACGCACGACAAATACCACACGCATTTGTATATCTGGTTGCCTAAATGCTTCATATCGTATGTCATTAAAAAATAAAACTTGCAATAAAAATAAGCAAATTTATTGTGCTTAAACATCACAGTAAATGTTCTGTGCTCAAAGCACATGTTCACTCTTTTTTTTCTTATTTTCAAAAATGTTCTGTAACATCCTTTCATTTCATTAATAAATGCTTAGCACTCATTGTTCAATTCCATGTTGTGACAGGAACTCCTGACTGCTGAAACTTGAAAAACGTTAAATAGAACATTAAAAGCGATAACTTTAAATGACAGGTTACATATGACATTAATGACAAGTAAGAACTGTCATAATGAGGCATAATTTCAGCGAAGCCAAATTTTTGAAATCCATGGCCAACTACGCCCTTAGAGTCATATATAGAAACCCTGCACAATGCAATGCAAAGGACAGCATTGTGTGATAATGTCAAATTAAATTCTTTTAAGTATACTATACTTTGATTTAAAAAAGTAATGTTTGACGTTCATTTGTTTTTGGCTATGATATTCAACTTTTTGTTTTAATGATAGGTACTCTATTTTTGCAGAGAGTCATGTAGAGATATTTTTTAAATTCTTTGACGTATCGTATTATACTTTAATATTTGAAACATAAATACAATTTAATATTTGCAATAAAATTTTGTATTTAATTATTATTTTCGTGTTAAAAGAAATTTAATTTTCAAATTAAAATAAAACCTGAAAAGAATATCGACCTTGCTAAAAAAGATTTTAGCATGAAGTAAGTACCTTGACTAGATATGTGTTCACAAATAGTTGTGTAAACAAATTCACCAACAGCAGTGTTGACACAAAAATTAAATTTAATGTACATAAATGAATTAAAAAAAAAACTTTATAAAAATCTATAAAAAATGTATAGAGTGTCATTAAAAAGTAGAAAATGATTTAATTTGACGTCACAAATCCACGTCAAATATGACAGATAAACTACGTCAGTGAGTCATGATAGCCAACAGAAATGAAAGAACCACGATCAAGAGTCTTCACTCTAAAAATTATGGTAAAAGCCTACGATACGACCGGATAAATATTTCCTCACCTCACTATTTATTAAATGAAAACCTGTTACCCAAATAAAATTTAATTCTTGGAAGATGACGATTAATTTGTTAACGATTAATTATGTGGTGGGTTGAATAATTAAGAAACATTTTTCGGTTATCTTTGTTGTGCTAACGACGTCATTATATTGGTCCCTAACATCGTCACCTCATTACGGTAACGACGAGGGAATACTGGTGCTAAAGAATTTCATTATGAGACTGAAAAATGACTTCTAATTAATTTATTTTGTGCTCATTACATGAAAACGAATACGGGGAGTTACTTGACGTTACGTGATGCTAGTGTGGCATTATATGGTTCATTACGAAGAGTCTGGCATTATTCTCGCATTAAGCGACCTTGTCAAGAGTGCAAACTGACACATGTCTATAAAAAGTGTAGTAAAACACATAGGCGGCTTTAACATAATGAAAAGTTTTGCAACAGTTTGGTCGTAAACTTAGACCCAGCTTAGATGAGCATTTAATCATGCTACTAATTTAATCACGCAGTTAATTACTCATGTGATCACATTCAACCAATCGAATTCTCAGATTCATGAGTCATCCGCATTCGAATTAAATGTTTCATAACTTTCATTCGTCCATTAAACCGGTTTGAGAGTTGCTACTAAGATTAGTAGAATTTGTTTGTTTATTATTTGTGTGAAATAAAGTATTGCATAATTCTTTAAATTTAAGATCGTTATCGACCATGGAGTAGATTACTTGTAAAGTTTATTATCTAGGATTAGAGGTTTACATGTGTAATGGCAATGTACACGAATTTCAATCCATTTAATCCTGCAATCTATTTTCAATTATTGCAACAGTTACTGATACCTGTAAAGGTGATAAGTTCAATCTGAATAGAAAATAGACGGTTTGTAGATTTTAAATCTAGTGTATTTATTACATGGATATAACAATTAAAAACAAGTATATGTGTTTAGAAAAGGTTGTTTTTGCCACACAGCTTGTTTTAAGTTGCTGCACGTTAATTGCTGTCGTTTTGTACTAGTAGCTCGAGTTCCTTTCGTAATTGTGTTAAAACATACTAAACCATAAAATATTGTGTTCTGAGGTGCGTGGTATTAAAATGTAAGTACCTATATGTTTTGCAAAATAATTAGTATACATTTACATTGTTATTGTTGATGTTTCATCTACAATGGTTACCCTCTCTGTACTTTTAAAATATACACCTGTATATTATTTAATGGAGAATATGGTGGTATCATATCATATAAAAATGGCCGGTATTCAGGCAAGATTTCTATCATTACGGGTACTAGAATTAATATGCATGGAATAGAGTAATAAAATAATATTCGAGATCCTAGAATTGCGGCATACAAATTCGTCTGCTATTCTACCACGTTTATTTGTACCCCTTGGGCATTAACCACACTAAAATATATATATAATAATATAATATATTAATAATAATAATAATAATAATAATAAAAATATTATAAATATTATACACAATATATAATTGTGGATAAAACATAATCGTTAATTTCCAACCATACAATAATAAATGAACCTAAATTATCCTCCTCGCCTGTTCCTTTCATTCACTATTCCCCTACCTTCTCTCGCTATTCCCTTTTTGCTCTCCTCTCTTTTAGTTCATTATACTCTTTCATCATATGTTTAGTGTAGTTTTTTGACACTTTATCACCATAATAGGATATACTTCTGTCTATCTTTAACTTCACTTTCCCTCTCTGCTCATGTCCCATTGGTGATCTTTGACTAAAATTTTTCGTTCCCTTGAGCTTTTATGCTGCTTGAACATTTTTTATTCTGTTATTCCAGCTTTTTTATTGACAAGAAGTGGTCTTATACTGCACTTCTTCTCTTGTCTCCTATTCTTCTTATTTTAGTAATTTCCTCCTTTCCATTATTCATCTCTACTTCTATTTTCTGATTGAATTGTTTGATCATTTAAGGTTATTTGAAAGGTTGTTTTTCACAATTCCATTAAACATTTGAGAAGAGCATATATTTTAGGATCAACTTTGTGTAATTCCAGAATTTTGTCTAGCCAGGAATACGGAACTGAATCATTAGCTTTCTTATAATCAATAAAAGCAGTATATATGTTTCTGTTTTCTTTGGTAGCTTGTTCACAGATAATGGAATTTGTGATTAATTGCTATTTGCAACAAAAGGATCCTTTAATACATCCTTTTTGTTCTTCGTTGTTGGTGACGCATTAAAACAGTGTTGACATAAAAATGTAGGGAGTGTGGATGGGTTAAGAATGAACTGTTCAAATTTTTAGTAAATGAGTGTGTATACAATTGATTATTATCATTTTAACTGTGGATAGTTTATTGGAGATGTGAGGAAGCCATTTAGCAGATTAATTAAATTCAAATTCTTGAGACCAGAGTTTCGATCAGGAAGTTGTTAAATCCTGTGAACTCGGAAGTCCACCGGTTAATTGAGTTTAGCGTGTATTGGTTAAATTTCGAGAGAATATTTTTTCATTGTTAACAAACTGAGTGTTACAAATTTTTCTGAGATGTGTTGGTTTGTATCCCTTAAGTTGTTGTCTAATGTTATTAATTTTATAATTTGATCCTGTTTCCCTCAATGTGGAGCGGAGTAGATATGATTGGTGTTAGTATTTATGTCTTTGCATGTATTGATTTCAGTGCAAGCTAAAGCTGCACAGGGTCTAATTGTGTGAAGTTTTTCAAAAGAGACAGAGTTTGTGAGATGTTTTCTAGTCCGGAATATGTTTTAAAAGTGAATTTAAATAATTTCATTATTATTATATTTTTGAAATCTATAAGAACAGAAAAATACGCGTTTTCGTGAGAACCTATAGTTCTCTGCAACAAAAATGAAAGTATATCTATAATTTACAACAATGTGTCACCCATGTTATTAAAACTTATTATTTTTGTTGATGTTTATTCGACAACTTCATTTAAATGAAATTAGAAGTTAAATATTATTCGAAAACTCTTGGGCCATCAACAGCTTTAATAAATAATGTTGTTTACAGAAGATATCTTAAAAAACTTACCGATTTTGTTTACCTACTTAAAGTCTTATTGCTATTTGTAGTAACTCGTTAGCCATCAATAGGTGGCGCCATTATGCTTCGTTTGAGTAGTTTTATTTTTGTCGCTAGATGCCAATTACTCGGTTTTCATTTTAAAAGCAGCAAAAAATTGTTTATGCTATACTTAAAATATTACAGTGTTTTTTGTTGCCCAATGTGTCGAAGTTACGTCGTTTACTTTTGTACATAAAAATATCAGAAAGGGTTAGCGTCGATATTGAGCTTTCTGAATTTGCGTGACATTTTAAAAATGTTTATTGATAGAGATCACTCTTTAAATTTAACATAATCATAATAATTACATTTCAGAGGAGAACATGAATAAATGGCTTGTCATATCTTTCAACCTACGAATTTTTTTAGTGATCAAAGAAGTATTTACATGCGCTTTTTTAATACGGCTTAACTTTTGTGATGCTTGTTTTAGATATACAGAGTCACTAGAATGTATGGAAGCGGTTAAATATCTTGAAAACCAATTGTATAAATCAAATGAAATTAGGTGTAGGGGTACAAGAAGTTTTTTTTGCTTCATTTGTTTTCGAGATGCAAAACCAACTTGATTTTTTTAAATGACACTACCATATAATTAATGCATTTTTGAATAGACCTTTTTTTTCTGAATTCATTGATATAGCACAATTATACTTTCTTTTTGATTGAAATGGGGAAATAAATTAACAAAAGATGCTCAAAATGCTCTCCATTTACTTCCTGGCAGTAAAAAAGACGCTGAATAAAATTTTGTAGTCAGTTAATTTCTAGACGAATGTTAGCAATGTCGTTACGTACGCGGTCCTGTAAAAGTCTTGAATGGAAATTGGTCCAATAGCCCCATAAAAAGTCAAGCGGTGTCAAATCAGTTGACCTGGCAGGCCACTCAATGGTACTCCTTTGGCCTATCCATCTGCCAGGAAAAGTTTCGTTTAAGTACTGTCGCACTTGATGTCCAAAATGGGGTGGAACAACGTCTTGTTGAAACCAAATAGTTCGGATTTTGGTAATTGGGAAACAAATCTCTAAGTCTAGACTTCGTCTTTTGTTACCGTAACCGATTATGATTAAAAATTCTATGCGCCCAGTTTCACTTAGATGCACCATTTTTGCAAGAACACCTTAGGTAAATTAATTTCAAAGGTAACTATGTTACCTTTTTTTTCTATTTATTCTTAATTAAAATAATTTATTTTGCCTTTTCGGTCACAAAGAAAGTACGATTGTGTTATATCAATGATTTCAGAAAAAAAAGCTCTGTTCGAAAATGCATTACTTAATAGTAGTGGCATTTAAAAAAATCAAGTTCGTCTTGCATCTCGAAAACAAATGAAGCAAAAAAAATTTTTTTTGACGACTAATTAGAGCACAATTTTTGTTCCCCTATACCTAATTTCATTTGATTTGTACAAATGGTTCTGCCACAAAGTTGAGGAAGTAGAAAAAAGCAGCCTGTTAATCTTTTAGTTGATCACTGTCCACTGAAGATAATAAAAGCACAAATGACATCTCACATTTCTTCAAGTGTCTGTGGATTTAGGTCGAAGGCCAGTATATTCTACTCTTATTATAACGTTTGTTCTTGCAGTTCACACTTATAATAATAGAAACTTGCTTTACCGAAGATATTCTGGATAGTGTACTGTTTCCGTCTGACTTCGTTGTATTAAAAAAAAAATCGTTGCCCTGCTTCTACCGGAGTTGCAAGAGATGGAGGAGCATTATTAAGAGCTAAAAGCAATTCTGTCACGTGTACTGACATCGACATCGTTGGAGTCAAAATTTTTACCAACGAAGGGAACAACTTCTAATATTTGTTATAGGTATCTCAAATATTTGCCCAGAACTTTAAAGTTTTTTTTGGTATGATGTTAAATCTTCTTTCGCCAATTTCTGTTGTACAGCTGGTAAGAGTCATGGACCACTTCTTAAGGAAGATGTTTATCACTCTGCTTTTTACATGCTCTTTGAAGGATTAGGCAGCAAATCTTCGTTCAATTGATTTTAATACGGGGCATATTTCACATAATTTTAGAAAAGCCAACTTTCTCCTTCGTCGTCAATCGTTAGCTTCAACTGACTGGTGGATCTGTCTGGAGTCTCTGAAGGATGTTGATCAAGCTTGCTCAATGTTGTATGAACAACTGAATAATATTTTGCATTTATCAGTTCCTAAATACTCAAGACAAACACGTGGTTTTAGATAGTTTTTTTGGTCCTTCTCTAGTGGTAAACTAAGCTAGTAATAATGGATAACCTAAGTTTGCTTTAATTGTGACGATTGTTTGCATTCTAACTTGTAAGTTTGCGCCAGGATAATCGTTTCGGTCGCAATATTACCGAAGAGAAAATAAGGAAATTTGAACTTTGTAGACGTACTGAAAATAATCGGTTGGTGGCACACCGTGTTACAAAACGCCGTCGAAGATAAGGAAGTACGCATTAATTTGCTAATGCAAATTACGGATTTCGAAGATATTCGTATTATAAAAATCATTGATCAAGGACGAAGACGCCGTTCGTAAACGGTTTGACGCAATGTTTGCCGATATTAAGGCAATTCATCACAAAATCTGTAAAGAGCAAGTGGCTACTCGCTCAGAGCATCCTCCACCGCCCGCCCGGCCTCATATTAAGTTACCTAAAATCGTCCTTCCGACGTTTTCCGGGGAGTTTACTAGTTTTTTTTTTCCATTTATTGAAATGTTCGATACAATTATCAATCATTCTACGGAATTAAGTGCCATTGAGAAATTTAACTATCTTCGATCCTCGCTCAAAGGTCATGCATGAGCTCTCTTTTATTCAACATATTCCGATGACTGAATCAAATTATTCTGTTGCCTACAGCGAATTGAATAAACGTTTTAAATACAATACGCAAATTTTGAAAGCGCATTGGGACGCTATTGATAACTTGAGCGGGATTAATTCGACCAATCCAGAGGGGTTTCGTACGCTAATAGATACTTTTTCGAAAAATCTAAACTCCATTAAAAACTTTAAAGTTCCCGCAGATGTG